GAATCGGATACCAATGTATCGTATACTAGATGTACATGGAAAGCCATGTTTCAGAAGTTGTTAGAAATGTGCACATAAAGAAATCAACATTAGTTTAAATTATTTTCTTCATATTTATGCATGTATAGTTTCACCTATTCAGGTGTATATATATAAAACTCGAGTATTTCTAGAAGATTAAAAATTCTTACGCGATGAAAAATTAAGGAAAATATAAAATTAAGTGTTCATAGTAAAATGGATTAAAACTTGAAACCCAATCTATTTTGATTTGCACACGAACTAAAAATAATCTTGGAAATACTTTTTATATTTTAATATTGGAAAATATATTCACAAAATAAATCCACGAGAAGCTAGGACAAATTCACTAGCCGAAAATAAATCTAATTAGAAAAGCGGATCCAATTGAAAAATGACACATATAGTTCGTTTTTAATGTTCGTTTGGCTTCTCATCAAGAGCGTTTAGAAGGCCAAATCTCACGGGCAAATATCATTTTTAGCCCGCGGCCGAAACTCTCTATATATATATGTATATATTTTCCGGTTATTATTTTGAGAGTGACTATACAGTGGCAAGGAATAATGGATACAGTTGAGGAAAAGATATGAAGGTTATTAAATCTGGAAATGCTCCAAAGTTGAAGTGTGTCAATAACTTTTTTGGGGCAACTTTAGAATGCAATTTATGTATATTCCTAACATAATTATGTGTTTAATTTCTCTATCCATTTCTATACGTAAATCAAATAACTAACCATAAGATTTCCATATTTCAACTCCTAAGAAAATCTGCAGATTGATTACTAGGATTAATTAAATATGGAAACACATTAAAATCAAAGACATAAGACAGCTATAAATATAGCCACCCCAGAGTCATCTTCTCCAAACAATTTGCAAATCTATATATATATTGTCTATTAGAGTACTTAGGCAATTAGCTAGATATGAGTTCTGCTCACTGTCCGTTTCCGCAGTGTACAATTCAGGGTAAGTTTCTGTTCATTTTTCACCTTGTTTTGTGTCTTGTTCTTTTTAATGCATGTTTATATATTTGCAATTGCTAATGTGTATATATAGGTAAGTCCTCATGGCCAGAGCTTATTGGGGCAGATGTCAACAAAGCAGTGAATATAATAAAGAAAGAGAACCCAAATCTTCATGTTGTGCTTTTAAAAATGGGACAAAGCATTCCAGTTCCTGAGGATTGCACTCGTGTTCTGGTTTTTTATGATAACGTCACCAACAAGGTTGGCCTCGTGCCTATTGTTTGCTGATATTACAACGTCTGTTATGAAGTATTTGCTGCTTAAATTCAGTCTAGCTTGTACTGAAGTTTCTCTATTTTATGTCTTTTTTCAAGCTTATGCACAATTCTGCTCCTTTGTCTTTAATTGAATGGAATTTCGTTATAATGATTTTTAATTTTTATCTATTGTACGTGTCAATAGTTGGATATATCTTAGTCTCCTACATCATGCAGCAACATTTGTATGTTATCCTATTAGTATTTTTATTAGGTGCGTCAGATTTAACTCATGAATATATAGTGCTCGCTTAATCTTAAGTTTGGAAAGACTGAACTAAATATATACTTATTCATTATGGAATCAATTTGGGTTTAATCCATATTAGACCATCGAAAAGGTTGGGCGAATTGGACACCGCATGTAATGCCAGATTGACCCATAATAAAATTTATCAAAACATAAAAAGAGTTGGATAGATGTATATTTTCATGATTAATAAAACAAAAACCTTTTTCTCGATTTCATTTGGCTAATAAAAAACGATAAATGAAGTATAGAAAAAATAAACAACTGAAAAATGAGTTTGAGTTTAAGATTCAAGCCGTTTATTTAGAACAAAATTACTCTCATTGTCAGTTGCCCCAACATTCTAATAAAATTGGGCCTATATTTTCCCTTCTTACCCGGTATGGCCCAGTTTCTATGATGTTGAAAAATTATTTTCACTGATTAGCCATATCGCCGCCCCCACTCTTTTTCTTTATGCGGAGGAAACTTTTCCATTCCCAAATCAAATTTTCTCTTTCAGATTTTCTCCCCACCCCTCTTTCTCTTTCATTTTCAATTCGCTCTTGCTCTTTCTCTCTCTCTCTGGCGAAATAGTCGAGTTCTTCTTCAGATTTCCTTTCTATTAAGCTATTAATCCAAAACTCAAGTATGTAAAAGATTACCTTCAAGTGTAGCAGATAGAATAGACAAAGACTTTTTGTGGTTAAAAAGTGAAGGCGAAGATCGAAAGGAGAGTGAAGAAGACGACTGAGGCAAAGTGCGTGAAATTGTTGAATTATTCAGAGGACGACATAGAGAAGATGAACACCGAAAAGTTGCAGAGAACGCCATTCATCTGTATCTTCCTCTTCCACAAAATAACATTGTTGAACAATCCACACCGGATCTATCATTTGTAGTCTTTTTCGTTTCGATTCAGTGCTCGCCGAAGCCGATTCCGATTTTCACATTAGAGGATCCTTTTATTCCCGTTTGAAGAAAAAGAAAATATTGAGTGGTTATTTCTTTAATTCTTGTCTCTTATTCTAAATTATGAAATCTCCTTTTTTTTTTTGGTAATTTTTCCTCCTTCTTCTTCTTCTTCTTCTCACTTTTAGTGACTTCCGAAGGGAGGAAGAATGATGTATATAACTATATATACTTTGTATAATCATGTATAACCATGTATATTTGTGTGTATTCTCATAGTTATACAGAATTATACATGATTATACACAAGTATACAAGATTATACATAATTATAACCATGTATATTTGTGTGTATTCTCATAGCTATAAAGAATTATACATGACTATACACAAGTATACAAGATTATACATAATTATACAACATAGATAACTGTAAAAAAAATTACCTTCGGATAGTGTATATTATTATATATTTATGTATAATTAACGTATGACTATGTATAACAATGTATATAAGGTGTTTAATAATGTAAATTTTTATTTTTTCCAGTGAAATAAGATTTTCCCTTACAAAACTTTGAATTTTGCAAAAAAAAAATATAAAAATAAAATTATAGACTCTAAGGATGAATATATTTTTACTTCAACTTCCTGATATTGTGAATTTTAGGAAATACTATACAGAGGGAAGTAAAAAATAAATAAGAATGAAAATGGAAAAAGGAAAAAGATAAAAATGAAAGAAAAAATCGAAATCTGATTTAGGCGTGGTTTTGGATGTAGTTGACGAAGTTCCACTTGTTTTCATAAAATGTTTGTGGGCTACCGGATGAAAACCATATTTGTAGGTTAGGCGGCTGAAAAGTGCTTTCTCCAAGTGTATTTTCATGTAAATTTCCCGTTTATTTATGAGAAATTTTCAGAAACCACTATTGTTTAGTGGGTATTAACTTGTTATAGCTACTATATACTTAATTACTTTTTACAGCTACTTTTTCAGTTGTTATGGAAAGTATTCGATGTATTCAAGCTACTGTATTCACGAATACAGTAGGAAAACTCGGCGAAAAAACAGGGCATGTCAGCTATCATCCGCTGTATTCATATGTATTCGTGAGATGTATTCATGAATACAGCGTAAAAATAGGACTCTCCAGCTGTTTAAAAACAGAAAATGAATCAATTAACGTGATAGACTCCTAATATAACTCAACAAACTCAATTATAACATGCAAAATTATTAATCCAGTCAAGGAAAAAGATTTCTCAGACGAAAAACACCCAAAAAAATAAAGCAATATTTAGAGATTTAGTTCATCCTTTTTTCGTGGTATATACTTACAACCTCTTCACCAATTGATGTGTCCAAATGTATGGATATGTATTCTGGCTAATTGTATAATGTATTCATTGCAGACTTTTAAAAAATACAGCATGTATAATGTTGTATTCATAATATATGCTTTCCTTCATGCTATGTTTCTCTAACAAAATCTAAATACATCTAAAAGTTAGTATCTACAATCTAAATACATTTCATTGGTTGTATTCATTGATTTTCTATTTTGTATTGAGAGTATTTTACTATATTTCATTGTATTGTCGTTTTAAATACAGATGGATACAATTAGGTTGAAAATACAGATGAATACAATTAGAACTAACAATGTATTTAAAAATATTGTTGTATGAACTCAAATACATATAAATACATCCAAATAAAACAGTCAAAAATCACCGCACAAAATAAAAATCAGTGTATTCCTTATTGAATACATATAAATATATCTGAATACAAGAATTTACTCCGTTGGAATTGTCAACCGGCCAGTTGCAGAGTTCGTGATAAAGGAAAATCGTGGTTCAGTGTAGCGACGTAATTTTTGCAGCTTGGAAACATTATCTAACATGTCTGCCAAGTCTCCAACAACTTCCTGTTCAGAATCCAAATTCTCCTCGTCAAGAACATTATCAGACAATTCTTCCAGACCTGCCAGGAACGTATCAGCAAGAGTTGCCATCCGAGAATGAAGCAAATTAGTTTGATCAGTTTGAAAAGAACATACGCTAGGGTTTAATAAGGAGGTAGTTTTATATAAAGAATGAGAGAGAAAAAAATTAGAGAGTGTTTAATGGCTTAATGGTAGGAAATAACCATAAATACATATTTTGCTATAAAAACTAAAAGGTAACTGTATAAAATAATATATTAAAAGAGTTTTTATTTATAATAAATAGGGTGTAAAGCTTTGCGATAGGAGGTAAAATTTCCTTTATTGAATCAACTTGTTAAATCCGTTTTTGATTGATTTGGCCCAACCGGACCATTTTATACCCTAAGTTTGTTAACCCTTGACAGAAATATCTGTATACCAAAATTTTAAAAAAAATTGTATTAAAAACACAAAAAGAATGGTGAAACAAACTAAAAAGTCTTTTAATTTTTTTATATATTCATAAGTCTATTTTGGTGCAACGGAAAGACAGCACTAGGATAAGCTACATTAATTTCTGGGGAGTTTCTGCCAAAATTAAGGTGACAACTATATTCGGTTGTAGTTCTGGGGATTTTCATTTCTTCATTTCAAATAACAATCTTTTGTGAATATAAATATATAGTGTTTGCATCTAAAACTCTTGTAAGAACTATTTTCCAAAAAATTGACTGTTTGGTACAGTATTTGGTCAGCATTCTCCGTCAAGTTTCAAGCAACAGCCAGCAAGATCTCATCGTCAACTTAGAAAGGCCAGCGTTTGAGGGGCATCACAACAAACTTCATTGTCCCATTGTTGCAATGGATTCCCTCATGCTCTCCACCGGCAAAATAATAAGGCTGCATTTTCTTCAGCACGAACTCGAATCCTTCACCTGCACCCATATGGTTCGGATTTGCTATCCTCTTAGCCCTTCTGAAGTCGCACTTGATGAAGCTCCAATAGTTTGGTAATAAATATACACTGTGTGGAAACCCACCATTTGGGTTTGGCGGATCATACTTGAAAACTGCATGGTGCATTTAGCGGCGAAATCAAAATTTAAAGTAAACGAGCAAATATACATGCACCATATTTTGTTTATAGTGGGTGTAAGTTTAGTACAAAAAATGAGTTTAATTTCAATATACTAAAAATAATAAAATAATTTTTATGAGGTCACATAACAGAAAAAGACAAGTAATCGTCTATAAAAATGGTATTAATAAACTGCAAAATAAGATATATTATGTACTTGCTACAACAGATTAAAATACGCTTATGTAAATAAGTTAAATCCTATATATGTTAAATTCTATATATGTGTGTCTACACGCATATAAGTGATGAGTTATGTGAAAAAGAGAAAATTTTAATTTTTAAATAAAAGAAGACGTACCTAGTGTGTCATTGACAAAGAAAGGGCCATTTTTGCGAGCCCAATCCATGTAGTCGAAGCCATAATGCCAATTTTCGGAACCCCCAACGATGAATTTATTTGAAGTTTGGGTAACATTTGGGTGATTATTACCATAGGGGCAATTAGTTTTGTTCCAGTTTCCTGGTCCCCAAGTGTAGTTAAAGTTGGCCAGACTAACGCCAAACATGAAATAGAACACTACAAGAAACAGAAATGTTTGTACGTTAGCCGAAGCCATTTTGCCCAAGTATAGTTCTTTGATTTGCCAATGAAGAGAAGAGAATGGAATTAATGGTGGTAGATGAGAGAGCCAAAAGAATAGGCTATATATAGGAATGCAAGTACAAAATTATGACTAATTAGGAAATGAGATAGACAAAAATGAGTCAAATTTTTCATAAAGTTGGTTGGTGAGACAGGAAAATTAGTGCAAAAAGCGTTTCATTGTCTTTACAACATTCTCATATTTTCTAAGGGAGACTTGGCCAACATAAACGTTAAGAATTTTAAAATGGTTACTGACCTAAACCGAGTTTCTTTCGACCTTTAAATATATAATTTGGTGTAATAATGACATCAAATTAGGAGGAACAGTCTAAAACAGATAAACTTTTCCTTTCTTTTCTCTGTTTCTTAGGGGGAAATTTGTCTTAGGACAAGGAAAAGCAAATTTCTAAAGCACCTATGAGGAAATAATCGACAACCTCACAATTAAAGAACTTGTAAAACTAGTTCTTGTTCTGGAAGTCTGATTTTTAAAATTGTTAACAGATATTAAGTGTTTGTTTTCTTATTAAAAAAATCAAAATTTCCGTAAGATTTAAAAAGGAAGCTGAAGAAGAGAATGAGTTGGTTTCAAACTCATTAAGATCGGTTCATATTTCAGCAATGTTACTTTAGGAGTTTTTTTTCCCCCTTAAGTGCGTAGGTTAAACAAGGAATATTTAGGTTTTTGAGGTCTACTATAAGTTTTCCACTGTGACTTTCTGTTACTCCTATTTCTTTTCAATGCAATTAGATATTCCAATCTACCACGCAAGGAAGGCACTAAAACAAACTCCTACTAGAGTTTAATTTTAGAAAAGATTCATATTCATATGAAGCTATATGAATGGCCAATAAAAAATAAAAAAAAAAAATTGGAACAGGTTTTCCATTGAAAATAATCAAGATGAATTACTTCACATAACACTGTATGCGGTTGTATCAAGATGAACTTCGCATTCCGTCTTGCTTTAATTGTATGAGTTAGTCGCTTTATCAATATTTTCTCAAGCACGAATATTAATCTTTCTTGAGGCCAATGATTTTGATACTTCTCCTTCTCCTGATGTGCCAAAAAATCAGAATCAAATCACTATCATTGTATGTGGTTGTATTTAAGTAGTGTTAATTTTGAGTGACCCGGGTATGTTTGTATTTTCGGTCTTGACCTTTCTTCTTTTATGTATCTATTTTTCTATTGTTTCTCTTCCTCTAAATTATCTATGTTATTCACAAGTTCTTTTCGAATAAATTTGAGTTGGAAAATTTTTTTTGTATTGTATTGCCAATATGTATGATGAGTATGGATTAAATTAACTCTTATTTCTTTTAATTTATTCTTTTTTGTTGATTAAGGAGCGCAGTTGATTAAATTTGAGTTGGAAATGTTTATTCTTTTACTTTTCAAGGGTAACGACATGACCAAGCACCTTAATTAATACGTTAGTATATTTTTGTCAATTGACAGACAATTCTTATAGTATGAGAGTATTTGAATTATAAAGCTCAATGCGGTGTCTATAGGTGAAATGGAATTTAGGAAGCTCCAACTATTTTTTTTTAAAACTCCAATTTTATTTTAAATGAGGATCAATTTGTTCTGGCACAACTTTAATATTAAGTTCATAATTTTACTATGTCGTTGTTTTTTTGATTAAATTCTACCTCAATTATTGCTTTAATTTTATTAATAGTTATTTGTATGGCGAAGAATATAGTTTAAATATATAATGGACGTTAATGAACCATTTGGTGGAAACTAATAGTTTTCCAAGGTGATTTTTTTAAGGAAATTTTACCTCCTATAGCAAAGGTTGATACCTTATTTATTATAAATAAATACCCTTTTAAAAAATTATCCCCTATAGCTACCTTTTAATTTTTATAGCAAAATATCTATTTATGGCTACTCCCTGCCCTTAAATCATTAAATACGCTATGTATTATTTTTTTTTCTCTCTCCCTCTCTCCTCCTTTCTCTTTCCTCTTTCTTCTCTTTTTCTCCCGGTTTTTTCCTCCCCTGCTTTTAGAAACCCTAGCAGGGGTTGTGTTCTACCAACGACAGATCTGGCCAGCGACCATTTCCTCCCTTCCTTGTTGTGTCACCCCTAACCCCCTCCTTCGGCCGGCTATTTCTTTCACCTGTCAATAACGACCCGGCAATCATCCTTAGTATTGTGTTGAGAGGCTTCTTCCATTGTGAATAGCCTCGTCAGTGTTGGCATTTTCTCTCAATTAACTTTTAATGGCTTTTTTACTTGCAAATTTCTCTTCTCTCAAACAAGTTACGAATAAACCTATATGGCTGAAATACTATAAAGAATACTATGGTCTTGGCGGCAGTGGTTTTCGTCTGAAAGGGTGCATGGATATCGGTGGATTGGGGACGGAGTTTGCGGCTGAGGAACTTGAAGAGTATGTTACTATTTTTTTCATTGTATTTCAATGTACCTCGTTGTATCTCATGTATTTCATTGTATTCAGTGTCTTTTTTTTCATTGTATTTCAATGTATCTCGTTGTATTCCATATATTTTTATTGTATTCACTGTCTCGCTATATTCCATGAATGTATTCATATGTTTTTTAATTTAATATATGATTGGTTTATAGTACCTTAGCTTCATGTTTTGATGATCTAACAAACTTACTATCAAAGAACCAAATAAGGAACCTGATACACTTGGTACACAACTCAATCAACGGACTCAAGCTAATGTGAGTTGCTATGACTTCAGAAGATAAAGAATCAACACAGGGACCTGATCCACTTGGGTTCCCCTGACAGCAGTATGAGGTCAACTCTTTACAGCTAGAAAGTGACTGCCTGCACTGTACACGCAAATAGTGCAACACAGTGCAGCAGTCACTTCTCATTGGGAAGGACCTTGTACCAACCAAGTGACTACATCATTCAAGTGATGTCATCCAAGGTGTATTATCAATAAACATTACAACAAAACATCACTTGAACACTTGAAAATTCATTCAAGTACTCCAAGCATCTGACAATCAAGCATTCAATTCTCAAGTGCATCAAGAACAAAGTACAACACCACTACGGACCGGTTCCTACAATAAGCCTCTTGTATGTCCTTAGTAGAGTTGTAACTTTGTAATTGTTATTCATTGTAATTCCTACTTTGTTTATCTAGAAGTTTTAATTAGGAACCCCTTGTAAACCATAAATATTTAGTGTTTATGTCGTGACTAGAGTTAGTCATGAGTTGAAGTCTTTGTAATAGATGTATTGCAATGTGGCTTGTAATAGGTGTATTACAAGTTAGTGAGGGATTAAGAGTTTATTCCTAGGTTGCATAGGTTGTTATCTAAAGATTGCTCATAGTGAAGTTGAAATCCTGCCAGTGTAGGTCGTGATTTTTTTATCCCCTTGAGCAGGGGTTTTTCCACGTAAAAGTTCCCTGTTCCATTTACTTACTATTGCATTAGCCTTATCTGTGAAAACCTATATAGGACCTGGTCTCTATATAGTTCGGTGGACTCATATATTTTATCAATTGGTATCAAAGAGGGTTCTTTCTATCAGGTTAACACCTAGAAAGGATCCTCATGGCTGCTCCACCAAACTTCGAAGAGGGTCAGTCTATCTACAGACCACCCAGGTTCAATGGCCAATATTATGGGTGGTGGAAGACAATGCATGACTTTATCATGGCTAAAGATTCCGAGTTGTGGGATGTTATATGTAATGGTCCTTATGTCCCTACAAAAAAGGTCGGAGATCCTGCTGTGATAGTGCCTAAGATGAGGAAAGAATACAACGATGCTGACAGGAAGGCTGTGGAGAAAAAATTTCGTGCCAAAAAAATTTTGGTGTGTGGTATAGGTCCTGATGAATATAACAGGATTTCAGCTTGCCAATCTGCCAAAGAGATATGGGAAGCTTTACAAACAGCACACGAAGGAACTACTCAAGTAAAGTAATCTAAGATTGACATGCTCACCACTGAGTATGAGCTCTTCAGAATGAAGGACGATGAATCCATTCAAGACATGCACACTCGATTCACTTCTATCATAAATGAGCTACACTCGCTTGGTGAAATCATTCCTAGGAACAAGCTAGTGAGGAAAATTCTCAGTATTTTGCCTAGTCCCTGGGAGAATAAAGTGAATGCCATAACTGAAGCAAAGGATTTGCAGGCGCTGACTATAGATGAGCTGGTTGGGAATCTGAAAACCTATAAAATGATGAAGAAGAAGAAGGACAGTGAAAGAAGAGAACCAAAGAAGGAAAAGAACCTGTACTCAAGGCAGAAAGTAATGACTCAAGTGGCGAGGATAGTGACATGGCTTACCTAACCAGAAGGTTTTAGAAAATGGTTCGAAGGAATGGAGGTATACAAAAGAGGGGCAGTTATAGCAAGCCAAAGAATTATGACCTCTGTTATAAGTGTGGAAAGTCAGGGCATTTCATCAAAGATTGCCCTCTCCTGAAGCAAGAACACTTCAAACACAACTCTGACAAAGCAACCAAGAGGAACCCGGTTCCTGATAAAGGCTTCAAAAGAAAGAACGCCGCTGATAATGTTGTGAAGCAAGCTCTTACAGCATGGGGAGATTTTTCCAGCGAGTCTGAAGAAGAAGATGAAGCAAGTGACAGCTTAATGATGGCAGTTGAAAGTGAAGCAAATGAGTATGACTCAATATTTGCTTTGATGACTCGATCAGATGATGATGAAGACGATGACAATGATGAGGTAAATTTTCGGGATGTTCAGAGAAATTTGAAGTCCTACTCTCCTAAAAAAACTCATGTCATTAGCTAATGTGTTAATTGATAATTACCATAGTCTTGTAACTGATAAGGATGCCTTAACTATGGAGTTAGGAGATGCTGAGCAAACTAGAGATGACTTGATGGTTTGTGTGGTTGATTTGAAGGAAACTATAGATAATCTTGAAAATGAAAAGGAGGTTCTAATTGAGAAAATCACTAGTGTAGAACACGAAAGAGATAATTTGATGGTAGTAGTAGTTGATCTAAAAGAAACCATTG